AGCATAGCAAGACCAAAGGAAAAAGATACCGATTGAGTGTCTGATGAAGCAGGGTCATGTCAGAGGCAAGGGCAGGGGCAGCTGGGAGTCCTAGCACCATTTAGAGCAAGGCAAGACTGGAAGCAGGATCAGAGACACAACCATCACAAAGACCCAACCTATTGTGGAAAAGCTGAGTAGCACATGGAAGCCTTTTACAGGGCCTTCCAGAGCTCTCAGCTGCACCATGTGATTGCACAGCTTCCAAATACCTACTGGTTTGATCCTGATTCTGCAGGCACAATTTGCAGATGATACAAAACTGAGTGAAATATCAAACACTCAGAAGACAGAACGCGGATCCAGGACAATCTTGATAAACTTGAATGCTGGGCTGAAAGGGATTCAGCAGGGACCTCCACCTAGGAAAAAGAAACCAAATGTATCAATACCAGATGGGAAATATGTGGCTCAACAGAAAAAGACCTTGGAAAACAGTCTAAATATGACCCAACAGTGCAATGCAGCTGCAAAAAGGGAAAATACTATTAACAAAACAGGGGAACCAGTGGCCTAGAGAGGTTATGGGTTCTCCCACACTTTGTTGTTGTTCTTAGTCGCAAAGTCGTGTCTGACCCATCGTGACCCCATGGACAACATTTCTCCAGACCTTCCTGTCCCCCACCATCCCCCAGAGTCCACTTAAGCTCACACCGACTGCTTCAGTGACTCCATCTAGTCACCTCATTCTCTGCCATCTCCTTCTTCCTTTGCCTTCAATTGTTCCCAACATTAGGCTCTTCTCCAGGGAGTCCTTCCTTCTCATTAGGTGGCCAAAGTATTTGAGTTTCATCTTCAGTATCTGGCCTTCTAAAGAGCAGTCAGGGTTGATCTCCTCTAGGACTGACCAGTTTGATCACCTTGCAGTCCAAGGGACTCGTAGGAGTCTTCTTCAGCACCACAATTCAAAGGCCTGAATTTTTCGGCACTCACCCTTCCTTATGGTCCAACTTTCACAGCCATACATTGCAACTGGGAAAACCATAGCCTTGACTATAAACACTTTTGTTGGCAGGGTGATGTCTCTGCTTTTTAGTATGCTGTCTAGATTTGCCATAGCTTTCCTCCCAAGGAGCAAGAGTCTTTTAATTTCTTGGCTGCAGTCCCCATCTGAAGTGATCTTGGAGCCCAGGAATATAAAATCTGTCACTACCTCCATTTGTTCCCCATCTATTTGCCAGGAAGTGAGAGGATCTGATGCCATGATCTTAGTTTTCTTAATGTTGAGTATCAAGCCAACTTTTGTGCTCTCCTCCTTCACCCGCATCAAGAGGCTGTTTAGTTCCTGTTCACTTTCTGCCATGAGAGTGGTATCATCTGCATATCTGAGGTTGTTGATATTTCTCCTGGCAATCTTAATTTCAACTTGTGATTCATCTAGCCCCGCATTTCTCATGATGTGCTCTGCATATAAGTTAAATAGGCAGAGCAACAGCGTACAGCCTTGCCGGACTCCTTTCTCAATTTTGAACCAATCAGTGGTTCCGTGTCCAGTTCTAACTGTTGCTTCTTGACCCACATATTGGTTTCTCAAGAGACAAATAAGATGGTCTGGTACTCCCATCTCTTTAAGAACATGCCACAATTTGTTGTGATTCACACAATCAAAGGATTTAGCATAGTCAATACAGCGGAAGTAGATGTTTTTCTGGTATCTCTAGCTTTCTCCACGGTCCAGCATATGTTGGCAATTTGATCTCTAGTTCCTCTGCTTCTTCGAAATCCTGCCTGTACTTCTGGTAGTTCTCAGTCCACATATGGCTGGAGCCTAGCTTGTAGGATTTTGAACATAACTTTGCTAGCATGTGAAATGAGTGAAATGGTGTGGTAGTTTGAACATTCTTTGGCATTGCCCTTCTTTGGGATTGCAATGTAAACTGACCTTCTCCAATCCTATGGCCACTGCTGAGTTTTCCAAATTTGCTGGCATATTGAGTGTAGCACTTTTACTGCATCGTCTTTTAAGATTTTGAATAGCTCAGCTGGAATACTGTCACCTCCACTAGCTTTGTTGTTGCTCAGACTTCCTAAGGCCCATTTGACTTCACATTCCAGGATGTCTGGCTCAAGGTCAGTGACCACCCCATCGTGGTTATCAAGGACGTTAAACTCTTTCTTGTATAGTTATTCTGTGTAGTCTTGCCACCTCTTCTTAATCTCTTCTGCCTCTATTAGGTCCCTACCATTTTGGTCCTTTATCATGCCCATCTCTGCATGAAACGTTCCCTTCATATCTCCAATTTTCTTGAAGAGATCTCTGGCCCTGCCTGTTCTATTGTTTTCTTCTATTTCTTTGCACTGTTCATTTAAGAAGGCATTCTTATGTCTTCCAGCTATTCTCTGGAATTCTGCATTCAATTGGGTGTATCTTTCTCTTTTTCCCTTGCCTTTCGCTTCCCTCCTTCCCTCAGCTATTTGTAAAGCTTCCTCAGACAGCCATTTTGCTTTCTTGCATTTCTTTTTCTTTCTTGCATTTCTTTTTCTTTGGGATGGTTTTAGTTGCTACCTCTTGTACAATGTTGCGAACCTTTGTCCAGAGTTCTTCAGGCACTCTATCTATCAGATCTAATTCCTGAAATCTATTTGTCACCTGTACTGTATATTCATCAGGAATACGATTTAGGTCATATCTGAGTGGCCTAGTGCTTTTCCCTTCTTTCTTCAATTTAAGCCTAAATTTTGCAACAAGAAGCTCATGATCTGAGCCACAGTCAGCTCCTGATCTAGTTTTTACTGACTGTATAGAGCTTCTCCCTCTTTGGCTGCAGAGCACCTAGTCAATCTGATTTCTGTGTTGACCATCTGGTGATGTCCATGTGTAGTGTCATCTCTTGGGTTGTTGGAAAAGAGTGTTTACCATGACCATCGTATTCCCTTGACAAAATTCTACCAGATTGTGCCATGCTTCATTTTATACTCCAATGCCAAACTTGCCTGTTATTCCAGTTATCTTTCGGCTTCCTACTTTAGCATTCCAATCCCCCATGATGATAAGGACATCATTTTTTGGTGTTAATTCTAGAAGGTGTTGTAGGCCCTTTTAGAACCGGTCAACCTCAGCTTCTTCAGCACCAGTGGTTGGGGCATAGACTTGGACTATTGTGATGTTGAATGGTTTTCCTTGGATTCGAACTGAGATAATTCTGTCATTTTGGAGATTGTATCCCAGTACTGCTTTTCCTACTCTTTTATTGACTATGAAGGCTACTCCATTTCTTCTGAGGGATTCTTGCCCGCAGTAGTGTACCTGATGGGCATCTGAATTAAATTCACCCACTCCTGTCCATTTTAGTTCACTGATTCCTAAGATGTTGATGTTCAGTCCTGTCATCTCTTGTTTGACCACATCCAGCTTGCCTTGATTCATGGATCTTACATTCCAGGTTCCTATGGAGTATAGATCTTTACAGCATTGGACTCTCCTTTCATCACCAGATACATCTGCAACTGAGTCTCCTTTTGGCTTTGACCCAGTCACTTCATTCTTTCTGGTGCTACTACTACTAGCCCTCTGCTCTTCCCCAGTAGCATATTGGACACCTTCCAACCTGAGGGGCTCATCTTCCGGCGTCATATCTTTTTGTCTTTTGGTACTGTCTATGGGGTTTTTCATGGCAAAGATACTGGAGTGGGTTGCCATTTCCTTCTCCAGTGGATCGCGTTTTGTCAGAGCTCTCTGATTTGACCTGTCTGTCTTGGGTGGCCCTGCACAGCATAGCTCATAGCTTCATTGAGTTACACAACCCCTTTTGCCACAACAAGGCAGTGATCCACCCACACTAGAGGCATTCAAGATGAAACTGAACTGGCATTTATTTATTTATTTATTTATTTAAAACATTTCTATGCTGTCCTTTGCATAGCCTCAGGACAGCTCACAGCAAAATAAATAACCATATAAAATACAATTAAAATTCAATGATAAACATTAAAACATTCAATCAAACCAAGTATTTAAAATTAAAAGAAGAAAAGAAAAAAGGAAAAGGAAAAGAAGATGCAACTGATTGATATTTCTTATTAAAATTATTAATTTAATTATTAAAATGATGGGTAAATAAAAAGGTCTTTACCTGGCACCAGAAAAAGTAGAGAATTGGCACCAGGCGAGCCTCTCTGTGGAGCATATTCCATAATTTGTGTGCCACCCCAGAGAAGGCCCTCCTCCGAGTAGCTACCCTCCATACCTCCTTCAAATAGGGTTCCTGGAGCAAGGCCTCACCTACCGATCTTAAGGATATGAAGGCATATAGGAAAAGAGACGCTACATCAGGTATCCCATTCCCAAGCTGTTTAGAGCTTTATAGGTTAATACCAGCACCTTGAATTGGGCTCGGACTTCAGTTGGGAGCCAGTGAAGCTGATAGAGGACTGGCATTATATGAGAATAACAGCCGGCCCCATTATTATTATTATTATTATTATTATTATTATTATTATTATTATAACATTTCTATGCCGCCCCTTGCCGAAACCTCGGGGCGGCTTACAACATGATAAAATACATTGAAATACAATAGTACATAATAAATTACCATTAAATACAAAAATACAAAAAATACATTGATTTACAAATATAAAATTAAAATTATCAGTACAAAATAAAATAAAAATATAGGAGGAGATCATCAACCTGGCAGCTCTATTTTGTACCAATTGAAGTATCCAGACCATTTTCAAGGGCAGCCCCATGCAGAGGGCATTACAATAATCCAACCGGGAGGTTACCAGAGCATGTGTCACTGTTGCTAAGCAGTGCTCGTCCAAGTAAGGGCACAACTGTTGGATCAACTGAAGCTGAAGGAAGGTGCTCCTTGCCACTGCCATCACCTGGGCCTCCAGGGACAGCTCTGGGTCGAGGAGCACTCCTAGCCTGCGGACCCTGTCCTTTAGAGGGAGTGCAAACCTGTCCAGGACAGGAACAGAATCACTTACCTGAAAATCTGAGCTCCCCACCAAAAGGACCTCCATCTTATCTGGATTGAGTCTCAGTTTATTGGCCCTCATCCAGCCTATTATCTTGGCCAGGCACCGGTTCAGGACAGCCACTGCCTCACCTGGATTAGATGTAAATGAGAGGTAAAGCTTGGTGTAATCAGCGTACTGATGAGTCCACAGCCCAAACCTCCTGATGACCTCTCCCACTGGTTTCATGTAGGTGTTAAAAAGCATGGGGGACAAAATAGAGCCCTGTGGTACTCCATGGCAAAGGTGCCATGGTGCAGAGCTAGAGTCCCCGAGCACCACCTTCTGGAAACAACCAGCCAAATAGGAGCGGAACCACTGCCAGCAACTCCCAACCAAGCCAGCCTATTGAGAAGAATACCATGGCGATGGTATCAAAAGCCACTGAGAGGTCCAGGAGAACCAACAGGGATGCACTCCCCAATCCCTCTCCCTGAACAGATCATCATACAGGGCAACCAAGGCAGATTCAGTACCATAACTGGGTCTGAAGCCAGACTAAAAATGGTCTAGATAATTTGTATCATCCAAGAATGCCTGGAGTTGTCCTGCCACCATCCACTCTAACACCTTGCCCAAGGATGGGATGTTGGCCACTGGTGTATAATTGGCAGCCACCTCTGGGTCCAGAGATGTCTTCTTCAGGACAGATCTGATCACCACCTTCTTTAAAGGGGCAGGACCCAGCCCTCCTTCAGTGAGGCATTAATAACCTCCAGGACCCAGGGACCAATCCTGTGATGGACTTTTGCAAGAAGCCGGGAAGGACAAGGGTCAAGTAAACGGGTGGTTGGGCATACCATCCCAAGCATCTTGTCCACTTCCTCAGGCCACAATAACTGAAACTCATCCAACAATGGTGGACCAGATTGCGCTCTGGATGCCTCCCATTCTGGAGTCAGGTCAACTGTGGAGTCCAGCTCACAGCAAATCTGAGCAGTTTTCTCCTTGAAGTGCTGGGCAAAGTTGTCACAGCAGGCTTCTGAAGGTGTCACCACCTCTTTATTTTGGCTGGCGTGTGTAAGGCCACACACTACTCGAAAAAGCTCTGCTGGACGGCACTGTGAGGAGGTAATGGAAGTGGATAAGAATTGCCTCTTCATCACCTTCACCACCACAGCATAGGCTCAATAGTGAGCACATAAATGTGTTTGGTCAGATTCATCACGTGATTTTCTCCACCTGCGCTCTAATCATCTCCCAGCTTGCTTCATCATCTGCAACTCAGGCATATACCATGGTGCCAAGCGGGCTCTGCTAAACGGGAGAGGACACTTAGGAGCAATCGTGTCGATTGCCCTAGTCATTTCCCCATTCCACAATTTGACCAGGGAATCAACAGGAGCACCAGCTTTATCTACCAGAAAATCCCCCAGAGCCCTCAGGAATCCATCTGGATCCATAAGACTTCAGGGACGGACCATCTTAATATGGGCTGCACACTTCTGGAGGGAGAGATCAGCCCTGACCTTAAACCTCACGAGGAAGTGATCTGATCATGACAAAGGAGTTAAGGTCAAATTCCTCTCTTCCAGATTGCCTTCTTCCTTCCCTGTTGAGAAAATCTGGTCCAGAGTGTGACCTCTTTCATGGGTTGGGCTGGTAACTGTCGAGACAGCTCCATGGCTACCATGGAAGCCATGAAGTCCTGAGCCACCCTGGAGAATACAGCCTCAGCATGGACATTGAAGTCCCCCAGGAGCAGCATCCTGGGGGGTCCTGAATACCAGGTCTGAGACGATCTCCATCAGCTGGTGGGCAGGAGGGTGCACGGTACACCAACAGAATCCCCAATCTGTCTAGATTGCCTAACACCAGGTTCAAACACTCAAGGCCTGGCCTCGAAGGAATAGGAAGCCCCGTAAGGGAGACTGAGTCTCGAAAATCAGGGTGACCCCCCTCCTCTCCCTTCTGGCATGGCCAGTGCTGCACCAAATACCCAGGCAGGCAAAGTTGAGTGAAGGGAACATCTCCCCCTTCCCCGCCCAGTTTTCCATGATACATGCCAGGTCAGCCCCCTCATCCACAATTAAATCGTGAATGAAGGATTTTTTATTATAGACCGACCTGGCATTCAGCAGCAGCATTGTCAGGCCCAGGGGTCAGTTGATATTGTTACCAGGAACCTTCTGACTGGGAAAATAACCAGAAGAGGGGACAGATATAATACATTGGTCCCTCCTTCCTCTATACTGACTTGTCAGCCCCCCAACACCGTATCTTCCCCGCCCATCACCACCCCAATGGTGGCACCCACATGCTCCCCAGGCACTCCCATCCTAGATTAAAACCTTAAATAAAAATAGTAAAAATACAGTTGCAAAACAGAAGAAAGAAAAAGTTAAAGGAATATTAAAAAAATGAAAAAAAGTTAACAGGACCGCTGGCCCAGCCCCTCACGGCCCCTCACAGCCCCTCATGGCATTGCCCTTTGGTCACCAGCCCATGGCCGCCAGCCCTGGCCACAGTCGGCAAGAAGAGGGCTCCACTGCGGCCCCTCCCTCACAATCAACTACCTCCTGAAGCAGCTTCCACCTGCGCGGAGAGGCAGAGCAGCGAGGGTGGGATGGTGTAACTTGGTGTCCTGCAATAGCAGGGGTTGGACCTAGAGTTGCTCTGGTGTTTGGGTAGGCAGAGGCCTTGTACCCATCCTACTTGAATGATCCTGTGGACAGCCGGGTTGCCACCATGTGAACAGAGTGCTGGACAAGATAGACCTCTGGTCTGATCCAGCAGCATCTATGGTACAAAATGACCAATGTCTTCCCAAAAATCTAGGAAACACTATTAATTTTCCTGACACTTCCAGTGACAGTTGCCAGTAGCTTTTCCAGCAGGAGCTCATCAAATGAACTTACAGTCACAGATGAGAGGCTCTTTCATGATACTTTCACAAATTGAAGCATCCAAAGCTACATTCTGAGCAGTGGCAAGTCTCTATGCCACACAGCAGAATCATTTTTACTTTAAATTTAGTTTGGTTTTGCAGCAAATCCTCTTTTGGTACACATTCTATGTTTTAGAATATCCCTAATTTTTATTTTTAAAAGTAATAATAGTTAAAGTAATGAAGGTATCCAAATAAATAAAACATATTTTATTAGTTATATAGAGCTGATAGTGTTAACAATACTTGAAGTGCTAAGTGTTCACTAATGTTGCATCAGTGTAAAACTAATTTTAACCAAGTGAAAATGAAAAAGAAACATACTTTACAGCTAACAGGAGGAAAGAAGATTTAAAGCTAAAGGAATTCTGTTCGTACTCAAACTCTGTGTAGAACCTGGGAAAGAAAAGTTGCCATCACTTGTTTGTTGCCATCCAACCTCACTGCAGTCAGCACATTCAAAAAACACTAAGCTCAGTTTGGTGCCCCTTCAGTTCAGAGAGATCAAAAGTTTGAACTCTGGATGCCATCTATTGTTTATATGAAACAAAAATTTGATTTGGACATTAGAGCTTTTACAGTGCTTATGTAACATTTTTGAAAATTTAGTTGATAGCATCTTGCACATGGGAAAAATTTGAGTTAGTTTGCTTGGTGACTGTTATAGGTTTTATTGGACTTGTGAATTATGTAATTGATGTGATGTTCTGTTTGCATATTTTAATAAATAGGCTTGAAAATATTAACATGGCACCTACCTGTTGCTGTGAAATCTGTTTCTCCAGGGATGCGTGGGTTCTCTTAGGAGTCAGCCATGTTCAGAGGTGCAGGGGAGGTAAGAACAACTGGCCTGAGGTGTTTTAAGGTGGATCCCCTTCCTGTACCTTTTGTAGCCAGTCTCTTGTCTGCATGCACACACACATTACACAGCTGGAGAAATCCCTACTTTCCTGCAAAGTCTTTCCTCAGGTCCCCAAAGTCTTTCAGCCAGAGATATGGTGTCCTTCTTCTACTGTGTTTCAGAACAGAAACCCAGGTCATCAGTGAGCTTTAAATATTAAGTAGTGGAATAAGAGGCAGCAGCAGGTGCATGGTTTGTTCTCATTCTCTCTGCCCTTGTGGCTATGCTTCCTGGCTGCCCAAAGTTTGTGCGTGTTGCTCTAAGTTGGCACAAGTTGCTGCAGGCAACCACCAGCCAGAGAGAAGCAGCTAGAAGGACTGTGAGGATTCAGTGGGATCCCCCATTCTTATGTGGACACTTGCATCAGCAGCAAGTCCCCCATTCCTCAGCCCTGGCAGTAGTGAATGCAGCTCCTGCAGTTAATGATCTTAAAACAACTGGCAGGAATGCAAACTTGACCAATGTAATGTGCTTTTGTGAGGGGTTTCCCTTGAAGATGGTTCAGCAAGTGTAGCTGAATCATGGAACTGCTCAGCCATTGTCTGGGACTAGCTGCTTGGGACACACGGCACTGATTCTAAAAGAACACTGCTGACTGCAAATTAGAGCTGTGGCCACCACAGCCCACCCCAGAGGCCTTGTCTTCTTATTTGGATCCTCCTGCCCCTGAGGAACAAGGTACTTCTGAGATTGAGTTCCTGGGATCTCGGGATGGAGACTGGAAAGTTCTGCTCCTACCTCAGTGGGGATGACTAAGCACAACCTGGCACCTATGGATGCCCATGCTTCTCTCTCTCTCCTCTTTTTACCCTGCTCTAATTTTTCCTTATGTTTTCCTTCCTTCCTTCCTTTCCTCACTTCCTTCCTTCTTCCTTGATGGTATGTCTTCTGCATAATTCCCTCCATAATCCTGCCTCCAACCTCCAGGTGATGGAAGTATATGACTGTAAGGGTCATCCCATCATTTCCAAAGACAGTTTCATATATAGAATGCAGTAATCCAAATGAGAGGTTAACACAGAGGGAGTAACTCTGCATCAGCACTCCCAGTGGTAGTTGCTAAGCAGCTTTCATTAAAAGCAGCAGATGCTACTCAATACCTACATTCTATGTGACCAAGCCCACAATCTTTATGCACAATCAGGATTCCTGATCACATAGACAGAGAACTGGGAATGTATGCAGCAGAATGTGATGACTATCTCCCTTCAGACCTTCCAGTCCAGCCCAGGAAAGTCAGGGGTTGAGGGGGCATACCTGTATCCCCTCCGTGCTTACAAGAGCACCAAAAGAATCTTTCCAAATGGGCTAATGCAGCCATTTGCCATGTACACATAGACTGCTGGGATCTAAATTGACTGACTGACCTTGGAATCAGTCAGCTGACTTTTAATGTCATATCACCGTTTAGAATCCTTTAAAAAAATGGGTGGGGGAGC